GCATAACTACAATATGGTTCATCAGACAAATTCAGCTTTATGTAAAGCCCACTGGCTAATATGACACACACATAGTGTCACCCTTGTTTTGTGTCACAGTGGATTGCCCACAATCAGAATGGAAGATATCCATGGATGAATAATATCTTCATACCCTCCTGTGTTGCATAAGGCAGGTGCAAGTGCCTGACGTGGGTTCAAGGAGTGGATTTGAAGACATTTTGGCCTCCAGCAAGCACATCTGTGCCTGCAGATGCTCTTAGTGTTTCAGTGGTGTACTGAGACTACTGACAGATGAAAATGTAAGATTTGAAATAGGTTACACTGTGTTGTGTAACCTATAATGCTAACATGGAATTTGTTAACATCATATGTTTTCTGCTGGTCCAAAAGGTTTTACTTTTCAGAATTGCATGATAAATACTGTAATGTAGGTCCTGTCTTTTTGTGTATGATCATAATCATATTTTCTAAGCTATCATGGTCCAGCCTATGTCAAATAGTCACAACTTGGCTCTTAAAAGGTCAGCATTTAAACTGCAGAATCACACTTCCTGGGAGTACATGACCAAGGCAAGGATATTTCAAATACTGCCACAAATTTTCCTCAATCCTTTTGTATAAACCCCAAATTATGTGTATAACAAACACACGTTCTGGAAAATATTTCGCCTTCTCAAAGGAATTCTCAACTCCACTTGATAGTTTCAACCTGTTAACAGGTTGCAGAAAAGGGCAACATTAGATTCATTACACTAAGGGCTCAAAGGCCCAGAGCACAATGTCTTGGCTGAAAAAAATGAATTCATTATGTCCCGCATTTTTGAAAAATGAAAAAGGGGTCAGATATGAAGAGCTACATACAGTAAATTGTAGTGAAAAAGGATCATGATGCTGCTTTGCCTTCCTTGTGGACAAGGTAAGGTGCACTGATTTTAGGGCTTTTGTTGCACTGAACAGGTTATATACAATAATTTAAAAAGAAAATTAATGATTAAAGCTTTGAATTCAATCTGCTAGATGACTGACTAAAGATTTCAGAGCTGGAATTGCATTCACAATTTGAAAGCCACTAAATCAAAACAGTGAGGAGACAATAAGGGAGTTGGAAGTGTCATTCCAAACCCAGGCTCAGTGTTTGAGAATGTGAGTTTACACAGAACCAAAAGCCTAGGTGCTGTCTTCATTTAGCTTCATTTTGGGACTTTTCTGAAAATTCTTCTGGAGAATATCAATATCCATATTGGTGGTAAAGAAAATGAACACCTTAAAAAGATTACTGTTGTATGTGTGACAGGTGCAAATCCTCCAGTAGTCAAAATTTGGAAACAGAAACAATTCCTCATAGATCACTTTTAACAACTGAAAGTTATTTAGGGTAAAGCTTGAGGGGAAGGGGAACAAACAGGTTATAAATATAATAAAGCCCTCTCATACCTTGATATTTCATATTGACACAGTATTACATAGCACTGATTAGGCTGTGCTTTAAACTGCTGTGTAAGATACCATCAAGCTAAACTAACTCCAGATTCCAGGCTGGATTTCCTCTAGTACAGTTACAATAGTCAGAGACCATTTTTCATGTAGATATAGTTATGCTGTCAGATGTTTGCTTTAATTTATTTTACAGACTTTTAATAGGAAATCTGCAACACAGGCTTCAACAGGATGTAGGAGTGGAAGACATTTTCTGCATAGCCCAGCTTTCAATGATGGTCACATATGTTTGTACTGGAGAAAGAAGTTATTTTTCCTATACTTGTTATTGAAATAGCAGCAGCTTGGCCAAGGACATAAAACTGATCAGAGCATGCCCTGAAACACCCAAGAAGAGATCCAAAAATTATCACTGTATTAAATCCATAAACACTAACATTTATGGATGTTTACATAAAGTGCCTAAGCACCTATGATAAATTTGCAAGGCAATGAGCAGCCCTTTTATGGCAAACCATGCAAGGAATGGTGTTGCCAAAAGAAACCTAACAGGAATAAAGTTTTCCCTGTGACCTCTGATCAGCAATACAAGTGAGTGCTCAGATCCAGATTCTGTGCTATGGTGTATCTGCCTTGGCCCAGCAAATTGCCCTTGAAATGAACTCTCTGCTAGCAGAGAGCTTGTGCTACAGCAACTTTCTGCCTACTGCTCTCTGTGATTAGGGACTGTGGTTAGGACAAATGAGAAATGAAGTAATAAGAAAAAGGAATTAAACCTCTGTTTCAGACCTACTTTTGAACAGGCTTAGTTTCACTTTTTTTCATCCTGTACAGTACATATTACACAGCAATTTTGAACACAACATAATTTAAAAGTTAACATCTGCTTAGCTGGTAGCACCAGATAAAAGCTCTCATTTGTAATGAACAGGAGAATTTGTTATTGCCCCAGTCAATACCTATTGACTTGGTAGAGCACTTCTGCTTATTACAACCAAACCCTTTTTCTTTTTTGTTCAATAGTCAATGACACTGGAATGGAAGGTACTGCTTATAAACTGGTGCAATATATACCAGCAACAGCTAGAAGTTAATGACTAAGGGTTACAAAGAGGAAAGTATGTGCTAAGAACAGCATAACACATGTATTAATCAAATTTACTGCATCTGATGTGCCTTTATAGGTTAGTGGAATTGTAATGTACATCAGATAAATAGTTTTTGCTGTTATTAATCTTAGTTTCAGCACAGAACACCTTTTAATCATGCTATCATTACATAAATAACTCTGCTAGGACAAAGTTCTGTCTGACTTTTATAGCACACGTTTTAGTTACAGGAAATTTCTGTCCCGTGGTGGATTCTGCACTTCTACACTTAGGATTTAGTGAAGTGCAAGACAACTGTTCTTCTCCCAGCTAAAGTCATGTTGTTCTCTAAACAGCACAGGTGGGGCTGTGTAAATGCAAGGCACCATCCTAAGGATAAACTGGAAGGAGGGAAGCAGAGCAGGGTGGATGTGTCCATTGCTCAGCCTTCCTTCTGGCTTCTTCCTGCAGCAGAGCAGAGCTGCACAACTTTGTCCTTCACACTTTATACAACTTGGACTTTATATGCCTTGGGGTGAAATTTGCTGATAATTCATGTAGTCTTTTTTTCATTCTATAACTGTGGTTTTATGATTGTTTGTTTGTTTGTTATAAACCTGCCTGACCCAAAAATATTTTCTTTCAAACTTTCAGTACTATTTTATATCTGAGAAATGCATAATTTTTTAGGACAGTGTAACTATAACAGTAGCACCTACTATTTTTATATTACCTTTATACAAACATTACAAAACAATAATAAGGTTTGTTGACAGCTTAGGGAAAAGCAGAGCTGCTAATGATGACTTTTTGGCTTACAGGTGTCTATAATCACCTTTCCTGTAGAAGATTAACAAATGCTGGAGCACTGATTTATCTGTTTGATTCTGCTCTCTGAATGCAATCGTGATTTCTCTCTAGGCTCATGATGAGTCATTATGGAAAGAAAATTTATAAATGGGGCAAAGATTAAACAATCATGCCATGGCCAAGTACATTATACTGTGTTCTGTGTGTGCCATTTAGCTGGATTCAAACAATGTTCATAAATCACAGCCATTTGCATTTTCAGGAATGAGAAACACCCTCCTAGATCCACCACGTGGATCCTGGTCATACCTGTGATACTGGTGTTGGGGAAGACTGGTGGAATCTAATTGCTGCTACGCTACTGTTCAGTATGAAGCAAGGAGCTAAATTCAGTTAAGTTCCTACATATTTACATCTCTTGACAAAGGTCCCCAGAGCTGCTCAGCCTGGGTTAAGTCGTGTTCTTGTTTGCTGTCAGCAGAGCAGAGCAATGGCGAGACTAAAGCTGCATCTTTTCTGCAAGGCCATGGATTTTGTTAGTCTAGTAACCAAACATACCTAAATAATAATAAATTTACCCTTGCAATACTGTTTGAAGAAAGAAAAAGATCCTCTTCTTCTTAATTTAGAACCACAGGGAGACAGATTTGCACATGGGCGGGTCATTCCATAAACCTGTTGAAATTCCATTCCAACAGCACGAGTTCAGGAGCTATACTTCCCTCTTTGTTCTAGTACTCTGTGTTTTCCAAACACAACTTCTGATGTTGTAACAAGGTGAAAACAGGAAATATTCATAACATATTTACTGTATTTACTGTGAAGGTAAGAGGACATTATTGTTTTACACACATAACACTTCCCTTTAAAAGAAAAATATAAGTACTGCAAATTAGCAAGCAACATGGCTTAGTTGAGATGAATCAATTTTGAAAAGAAAATAGCTTTTTTAATTCCAGTTTTTTAATTCATTACTGGAAAAAAGGTGGCATTAAAGAAATTACATGCATGTTAATGTCTTTTTACTTAATACTTAAGTGAGCACTAGATATTTCAGCATTTCAGAAAAGTCCAGAACACCACTAAAAATGCTGGATTTCAGAGGCAAGGGATATTCTTGGCAGCTGCAACTGTTACGTAGAGTAAGACATTTTGTAGATTATTCTGGAATTTTAGTAAAGTGCACAATAAGTTACAAAGTGTTTACATTGTATTTCTTTAAAATAGGAAATTTATCTCTTCTGGTACCGAAACCAGCAAGTCTCCACCAAATATATAATAAATACTTCTGCAAAAAGAAGAGTATAACTGATACTTTTCAAGACAATTTGACTTAATTGTCAACTCAGTTACTTTTATGGTTTTCTCCACTTGCCTACAGGCAACCTCTCCAGTCTATTTCATAAGAACCTGTAAAGACATCACTCAAATGAGGATGATTGTTGTTAAAAACTAAAACATTTCTAATTGAAAACAGATAGGCTGTGCATTTCCTACTCTGGTCCCAAACTTTGCAGTATCAACGGTCACTTCACGATTTGGAAGATTTCTGAGAACTGTAATCCATATTGAATGTGAACATAGATGCTTAATTTTGATACTAAGTGACATAGAATGGGAAAACCACCATCAAAGTCTTAACTAAAGATGTTAGTGACTTACTTTTTGTAACAACTCCTTCGAGGCGAATTATATTTGGGTGATCAAATTGTCCCATGATACTGGCCTCCCTCAGGAAATCTCTCCTCTGCCTGTCCATATAGCCACCTTTTAGAGTTTTAATTGCAACAGGGATCTCTCTTTTTCCTGGTGTCTTCAGACGTCCACTGCACACTTCTCCAAACTCACCTTAAATAGATAAAATATAGGTTAGATCACTCACAGTGCCTGTACACAAAAATATTCAAGAAACATCTCTTAGAAGTGGGCAAGTTCCTGAGTTTCATCACATCCTCGAAAACCAAAATATTCAACAGTGCTTCACAACAAATAATCACCTTTCCTTTGTGGCACGCTGCAAGATCATGGGGACTTGTATCACTCTCAGATTTTGAGACTGAATTTTGATATCAATATGTGTGTGATATATAACTGAGAATGCCACGAGGAAGGAATGTAAGGACACTTGAGATTTTTATTCCAGTGATGACAAAATATCTATCTAAAATATCTATTTATAGCAATATTTATCTCTAGGGGTGAAATGCACTGAGACCTATATGATAAGAAAAGCCCTGAGACCATCAGAATACTTGGCTATCCTCAAACTGTAGGAAGTATTTAAAAAGTACTTTGTGCTATGATGTCCCAGAAAAGCACTTGCACATGATTTATTTAAATAGACTTACACACATACTTGAAATTAATGATACATTTCCCTGTTCAGACACCCAAAGGCCAAGAGTTTGAGCAAATCTGGACTGAGTTGCATAATGAGAGGAATGTCAGAGCTTTTTCCCCCCGATGTTCTCCTGTGTACATTATGGCCTGTGAGGAACACATGTCCCTGCATTCCCTTCACACATTTACTAATCGAATTTGTATGGAAATCACAACTTTCCTTTGATCTTGAAGTCACTCAGAAACTATTTAAAGCCCCTACCAAATATACTCTGCATGCCTGCAGGTCACTTTTCAATCGGTCATAATTCAGCAAATGAAAAGCAACGTTCACAAAAATATTTCAAAGCACTACCCAGTGCAGGGAACTTCCATAGCAAACCAAATTTTCTACCCCAGTCATTTGGGAATCAGAACTGCAAGAAACCAAAGAATGAATAATGAACAGATATATAGGTCCAACTGGAGGAAATAAAGTGTTACCCCCTCCATCAAGTGTTGTCTGAATTAGTATTTCCTTAAACTTTAAGGACAGAAGAAAAGAAAAGAAAATAGGAAACCTCCATCATGTAATAGTGTGCCTTCAGGTATAAACCAAGTCTAGAAGAGAGAGACCTTAAAGGCAGTAGCTTCACTTCAGAAAATCTGATGTTGCAGGATTAGAATGGATATTGTCATACAGTTTTTATTTTATTAGGTTCTGTCATTTCCACTAAAAGAAAACAAAGTTTTATTAGTCAATAAGATCCAGGAAGAGTGGAGGGATTAAAAGAACAGTTTCATAGCTTGTCTTTCACTTCAAAGACAGAGGTATCAACAAGTGCAAGAGTACAATTATCAGATGCTGAGCATACTCTCTGAATAAATTATCAGCTTCTGAAACAGATTAAAGAAAAGTGTCCCAGGTCTTCTTTCCACAAATCCCCCCTCTCCTCCCCTTCCCCAATTTGTTTTATTTCTACTTAATTTTCAAAAACAAATTAAAGCATGTGCTTCCCTGAAGATGTGTGAAAATACATGTCACAGAATCACAGAATCTGCTGAGCTGGAAGGGACCCACAAGGATCATGGAGTCCAACTCTTAGCCCTGCACAAGACCATCCCCAAGAGTCACACCACGTGTCACTAGACTAATGTTCTGGGAATCTTTTGACAAAAGTGGAAGTTGTGGAAGGATTTTCCTATATAATTTTTCCCCTTTAGAAGGCTCTCCTTAAAAGTTTTCTTGCCTGACCGCTGAAAAAGTAGTGGCTAATTTGGACCTGTAAAGTCCTACCATAAAAGAAAGTCATGAAACCTGAATGCTTTGAAGGAAACACGGTATATTAATTTTCTATGATATGCCCAGCAGAGCCAAAACACATCTCCAAAGCCACGATCTTATTGTATCTTACTGTTCTTTTCCAAATTAAATGCCTAAAACGAGAAAAATTTCCAATTTCTCTTGATGAAACAGTGAAAAGTAAAAATACTAGAGCCTTAATATCCAGATTTTAAAAGAAATTTTGTGATCAATAAATCTATAGAACTGCAAAATCTCATTTTTGAGAATAATTTGGAAAGCATAGGTTATAGAATAAATGGTTTTGCTAACACAAGATTATACAATAGTACTACAACTTCAGAATTTCATCCCTCAGGGACTGTAAAAGGCTGTTCACCAAGGGTTTTTAAATAAATTAAACTGAAAGAGGCAGGAGAAGGGCTTACAATCCCAAGATTTATTATCTCAACATCTAAAGCCGGATAAGGAATATTGTGTCTTCTCCCTGACCTGTTCCTTTTGCCTTTTTCGGATGCATGATTTGTAAAGTTGGAAAAGAATTTCGCTGCCCTTGGATATTAGGATTGATAAACTGCTGAACATAAAGACTAACAGCAGGTTTTGTGTGACATGATGTCAAACAGACAGCAAGTGATCATCAGCTCCCAGAACACACAGTTCCTACATTTAGAAACCTAAAGTGTGTGTAATAACTTCTAATTCTGTTTTAGACTAGATGGAGATCAATGACATGATTTAAAGCATTGTGTTATTTACATGGAGAGTTTGACAAGATTTCATCCCACAGTAACTTTTCTGCTCTTTTCTTCAGATAAAGCATTTTCAATGTTTTTAAAGTCAAGGGGGAATGTGCTCAACAAAAGGGATTTTTTAAATCTAAGAATCTAAGTCTCATTGCTCAGGTTTGATGATAAACAAGATAAATGTTGACCCTGCAGCAGTAAAGGTTCATGACTGCATGTGTAATAAGTGGAAGCTGAGAGCCAGATGTCAATGAAGTCGACAGCTTTCCTTGCTCCAGGGAAAAGGCTGATGACAACTAGAGGAAAAAATAGAGTTCAATGTCTGTTTAGTTTTAATAAAATTTAAATAATCCCTGGTTTAATGATCTAAACCTCATACATCTTACTGTGTGTTACACACAAAGAAGCTGATTGAGCAGTCTAGAAACTTAGCCTGTGCAAACCACACGTCCCTTTTCTCACTCAGTCAGAGCATATGTGTTATTTAAAGTGAAATAGGAATAGTCAGCCCCTTAAAAGTGTGATGTGCAGTCTGATATTACTACATGGGATCAAAACAAATGTCTTGCAGCACAGACAGTTGCTGTTGATACAACTGAAAGGTCACAGCACCAAATCCAGCTCGGCTCATTTTCCCATTTCAGTCATTACACCTGTGGGAGAACTAGCAGGAGATTGAGATTATAAAAAGAATATAGTCTACTCTCTGGGAAAAATTGAGGAGTTGGTCTCTTCCTTGAGTTTCAATATTCTAACAAAGGAAATAAGAGGCTAATTTTAACTGTTAAAACAGACTTGACAAAGTACCTCTGGGAATTCCTTCTTTGAAGAGGTGCTGAAGCCTTAAACCAAATAGCAAGAAGTGAGGGGGCAGAAAAAAGTGTCATGGGCAAGGTAAAAACAAATAATATGATAAAATGTCAGTAGGTGCAGCAAGCTCAATATGAGAGTTGCTGAAAGGGACCATCTGAAGAAAATCTATGGTAATGAATTGATGGCAAATTTTGGGAACTGGCAAAAAGGCACATGGTGATCTTTGGAATAAACCAATATGAGATCTGATGGACTATTTAATATTAGTGATTAAAAAAAATCAGCCAAGAGTTTTGAATCCAAGAATATGAAATACAATATTAAACAATACTAAAAATTTGTCATAAAGAGCAGATAAAATAAAAGGGAATTGCACCATTTAAACAATAATCATTGTAACTATTGCTAGAATGTGAACTTCATTAATACATGTTTATTTGGTTGGTGTTATCACAAGCTAAGCAGGTAACACAAATAGGTCCTGTTTTGCTTTTTGGATTGTAATCTGCTTGTTATTATGAATTTTTTATCAAACTGCAAATTCCATTTTGGTTGTAAACTGTTTCCCCTGCTGTGTTTACCTTCCTGTTTGAGACAGGAGGACAGAGTGAGAAGATATTAAGAGAATAACAAAAAAGACCATTAACAGCTATTAACTTGGATAATTTTTCATTCAGTCAAAAGGTCTATAAAACTAGTTTTTTTGGCTCAGATGAACTAGATGTAAGACAGGAAATGATGGGAAGCTGCTCAGGCGCAGAAATCTGTCTGTGCATCTATCTTGAATCTATATTTATGGGCAGATATTGTTACTTTAATGGCGATATTTTGTGTCTACACCTGGAGTAGGTAAAGCCCGAATAATCTAGAGAGGACTTTGCAAGTTATGCAGTTCACTTTGCCTTATTTTGTCCAAAGCATCAGAAAAAAGGACAGTAATTCAGAGTGTTTGCAGATGTGCTGGAATGCCAAAAGCATGTCAGAGGGGGAGACTGGGAGAACTGAGATCAAACTTTCAATTAACTGTCTCCACAGAACATTGTGGTTGCCTTCAAAAACATCAGCTCAGTAAAAGTCAACCAGGAGGACCTGGAAAAGGATTTTAACAGAGGTTGCACAATTTTCTTCTTGAAGTAATCTCACAAACTCAGTATCTATTCTTAAACTGCTGCTGATTTGCTTTTTGTATTCTTACCTGCCTAATGAGATGAATTTGCATTAGTAACATTGATTATCATCATCATCATGGCTGGGCTTCGCGAACGAAGATTTGGGAAGGCTCTAACCACATTTGTTACAGGCACGTTGGTGACTTATGAGGCCAATACGAGATAGACATATCCGATTGCAAAAGGCACAGCAGAAAGACTCTTTAGATGGTGTATTCTGCAATACACGGTTCTTTCTGCGTTGCCTTTTTTCCTCGAGGGTGATCCTGCGTGTGTTCTCAAAGGAGACAGCTGCGTTATAGACGGTGTTTCTCCAGGCCTCCCGATTTGAGGCCAGAGTAGACCAGTTATGGTGATCAATATGGCCAAGGCTGAGATGTTGTTTCAGGGAGTCCTTGTATCTTTTCTTCGGGGCTCCTCTTGCGGCAGCCGATGGCAAGTTCACCATAAAGCAAGATCTTGGGGAGGTGGTGGTTGGTCCTTCATCCTGGAGACGTGCCCTGCCCAGCGCAGCTGTGTTCTCAGCAACATGGCTTCTATACTTGTGGCTGCTGCTTGTTCTAGAACAGATGTATTGGTCACATAATCTGACCAGGGGATGTTTAGGATTGTACGGAGGCAGCGTTGATGGAAGCGTTCTAGGAGTCGCAGGTGGTGGCGGTAGATGACCCATGATTTGGATCCATATAAGAGAGTAGACAGCACTATGGCTCTGTAAACACTGATCTTTGTACTTTTCTTCAAGTTTTTATTACGCCAAACTCTTTTGTGAAGTTTTCCGAAGGCACTGTATGCCTTTGCTAACCTGTTGTCTATCTCTCCGTCAATTTTATTTGCAATACTAACATTGATTAAATCTACAAATAAATGTAGAGACATTACCTTTTTATTTTGGCTATGAAATTTTTGACTGTTGCTGGCCAAGTGTTATCTTGATCTTTGTTACTACTAAAGGTTATTTTCCAATCTGCTGTTTCTGCTTGAAGTTTTTGCTACTTTTTCAATTTGACCATTTCTTGCTACCTTCTCTGAACCTTTTTTTAATATCTGAAGGAAAATCATCGTTATTTGGAGCAGTCAGTGTATAAGCAAGAATTTTAGACATTTTCCTCTTTTTTTAATATCATATAATACTACCTTTATGTTACTAGGACTTGACACTGAAGGATCAGACCCAGTTGTCTGTGTAACATGGTTAATAGGATCAGTTTTTAAAAACTGAAAATGAAAACTTTTAGTTCTTGAATGCAAATAATTGTTGTTTGAAAAATTAAAATTACAGAAATTAAAAATGAAAATCATTGACCAAAATAAATTGTTAAAACAGAACAAATTTAAGAAATGCATCAATATCTTCTTAAAAGATATTGATGTTTCATTTTGTAAAAGATGTTGATTTTTGGTTTCGCTTAGGTGAAAATTTAAGTATCTTTATAAGTAATTCTCCTGTGATAAGAAATGCATTTTATATCCAGTTGAAATGTTTAATATAGAATTAGGGAGAATTCATAGAGAAAGTTTTAGGACTGTTGTGAATTATGCTGATATGTTATGTCCCTTGGTAGCTATTAAAGAACTGTGTAAGAATTTGTAGTCTCTGTGCCTCAGCTATGGTATTTAACCTGTATCTTGCCTGCATAGAAATAGGTTTAAATTTCATTTCAAGCAGTTTGCAAGTCCTAGTAGGTGAATATTTTTGAAGATGGCAAATTGCCCAAGTAATTTTAGAAAAATAAAGAATATAAAAATAAAATGTCAAAGTATACACTCCCCCACATAAAAGAAAAGGGAGAAAGAAGCTGAGCAAAGAATTTTCATGAATTAATTGAGAGTAAGGACACAATTTTAATCTGAACTAAAATCAATAAACCCAATCCTTGTCTATGGTATTCAACTGCTTGGAAATCAGTAGTTACATTAGTGTTAATGTAGTTCAAAATGCTTTATAATCCAACATATCAACATCTATAGTATGTCTGAAGAAAAGGAAGAAATAAAAGAAATCAGATAGAATGTTTTCTGCAGAAATCAGCCCTCTGGGAGCTCTCTCAAGATCATAATTTCAAAGGTGCACAGAACTACATATTATGTGGCTTAAGCAATCAGGTGGACTGAAGTACTCCAGAGATATGGACTGCACTGGGAAACAGAACTGTCCCTCTTACTTTCAGGTCAATAGTTTTCTCCCCTGTTTGTTAGCAGACACGGTTTCATTTCTGTTATATTATTTACATCACCTTTTCTAGTGCATAAAGCACTTTTGAGCAACACTGAAGCTATTTCTGCTCTTGTCAGTGTAGTAACGCATCATTAAATGAGGGATCTTAAGGGAAAAATACTTCTTTCTAGAGTGACTAAGATATATGAAACAGAGATAAAAAAGAAAGATCACAGTGCATTATGTCTTCTGACAGCAGTTTTCCTGGCAATACTCTCCAACATGAGTTTTTTGGTGGGTTCACTATGAGCAAATTAAAACGAGGTTTTCTTTCCACTGAAACCCTTTTAGAAGATGTAACTGATTTTTTAAGTCTGTCATATTGTGAAGGATTTCTTTTTTTTTTCTTCATGGTATTAAAGCTTAAGAAAGTAAATAAGGTAAAAGTAAGTAAGTAATAAAACAGCATTGTTAAAGAAAGCCCAGTAGCTCAAAAATGGGCACTGGAGCATGGAATGTACTAAATAAATTTACATTGAGGTGAACATCTGTGCAGTCAGTACTGTAAGCACCTTTAACACAACAATTTACAAAATTTAGTCACTTTTAATATCTTGAGGACACAGAGAAATATCCATATTGTGTAATATGAAGACAGGGAGTGTTAATCTCCTTCGCAGGAAGAAATTATATTTCAGAGCTGGATTCTGTTCCTACATTTATCAAAATTTCTGACACAGACTCTCAGTTCTCCTACCTTCCCCTTCTGTTGGGGCTGAGAAATGATTAATTCTCCTCAGCCATTATAGGGTAACAACACAGAGAATGTAAAGTACCACAGGAACTCCAGACTCTCCTTGTCAGTCTGTTTTTTGTTTTAATTTGTTATAACTGCAAGAAACGTTGTGGTCCTTCTGAATGGCATGTTGGTCATAAGCTGTGCATTGAGATCCACTAGTTGGGTAAGTTTGTAAGGCCCTTTTCTGGCCTTGTCTCTCTAAGTCCTCAGTAAACCATGAACTGAGTAAAACACAGCAAACAATCTCAGGCCCTGGACAACAATGAAATGTTTTCTGCCCCACATAGTCAGAACACAAGAAATGGTTTTACAAGACTGTTTTTTACAAGTATTTCACTTTCGTTGTGTTACCCTCAAGGGTGTGTTTTCTGTCACCACTGAGCTGGTGACACTACCATCAGGACCTATAGTGAACTCTAGAAGGCAGCCATGAGCCTTTAACCCTACAAAGACTTTCCAGAAGTGAATGTGTGGGAATACTTGCACATCATTTTTCTGCGCAGTAAAACCTGACAGTTAAACCAAACCTCAGACAAGAGGATAACACTTAATGCACGGAGTAGACATTGCACATCAGCAAAAGTAGGATCCCTGAGAACACAAGGGGCACGTTATCTCCCCCAGGGAAAAAAGAACAATGTACGTACAGGATGAATGAACTTCTGAAACATTATCAAACAGCTGTGAAGTGGCCTATAACCCCAGTGAGATGTTCTCAACTGAAGGTAAATGCTCCATAGGTGAGAACAGTCTAAAACAATTGATCAGATGTAATTCCTTTCTGTCTCCACCACACACTTGAACTAACAGGGATATAGGAGGAGATCATGAAGCTATTTTTCCATTCATCCTGCTTTTCAAGTCCCCATCACCTTTCATACTGTCTCCACCTCCTTATCAGAATTTCCTTTTTCCCCTCTGCTAATGATCCTTCTCCACACAGGAAAGCCTGTCCCAAGCCAGCCTTTCCTTTCCCTCCCTTCATCCTCCTCCTGTTTTTTATTTGAGGATAACTTTTTCCTCAGTCTTTTACATTCTGAACTTATCTTCCCACAGAAAGAAATTCTGATCTAATTTCACGCTCAGTGACTGAGAATACATGACAAAAACTATGGCAAATGCTGAGTGACACAAGGGTTTGAGTGCATCTGGAAAAAAAAACCCAAACCCCTAACAAACAGGGCAAAAAACCAACCCTACCCAAAAAAATTATAAAGCCCTAAAAAACATTTAGGATAAAATATTGTGTTGGAGAATCTCCCTTTAGAGAACTCCTGATTTAAATATGAACATATTTGGAGCATCAGCTGGATACAATACCTCAGATACACCACACTTTAGAGAGGACTGTCAGAGAAACACACCCACATTTTCTGCTATACTTGACCACTTGTGTTATCCTGGGGACTCAAGAAAAGCAGCCTTGCCAGGCCTGGACGTTTCTTTTTAAAGGGGGTATAGTTTTACCTGCCCCAATAACTCTTTCAATACGAATTCTTGAAGGATCTATCTCCTTTGCAAACTCATGGACAGCAAGAGATGGGTCTTCATACGTGTCTGGATCAATGTATGTTTTGAGTCCTGGGAAACGCACTGCAAAAAACCAGAGAATAACAGGAATCAAGAACTTTGACATTGTGCACTGCAACAAGATGTATTTATTTATTTATTTTTAAACTGTCTAGTTTAAAAGGGTTGGAAATAATTTATTAAATCTTCCACGTTTAAAGCTCCAGAACCCAAAGAAGAGGATAATGACCCCAAATTACTAATGCTTGCTACTGATTTTGCAGAACCAAGTGCAGAATGCATGAGTTGTCCCCATTTGGGCCATCAAAGATTGAGCACAGGCTTAAACATTTCCTCTTATCCTTCAAGTGGCTTATTTAGGCAAGGCTTCTAAGACAGTAGTGAGCTGGTTCTTACAACTCCATAGACAGAGAGCGATTCTCTGACAACCCAACACTAGAAAAAGCATTCCAAAGTACTGACTGAAAGTGTAAAAAGGTCCTGCTGGGCGCTGCTCAAATCTTCTGAGGTGTTCTGGGTGACTGAAAGCATGGATACTTCTTCAGGATTGCTGCAGTGCATTGTTGCAACAAACATCCTTCCAGTTTGCAATGATGACTGATAATCAGTGTTATCATATAGAATGGAGAAAATACCAGTATTAGTTTCTCTGAAGGTTATTTACACCTCTAGTTACTGTCAAGTTTGCCAGTTACATGAGTCCCAGAGTTTATTCTGTCCCATGGAAAGAAAATGTCAAAGGCCTTAAGAAAACTCAGTCTTTGGTATTTAACTTGATAAGAGAGTGCTGAATTCTTATAATGTTTTGTCTCTGTCCCAGATGAAAACAAGCATCTCCTGAGAAACAGCATTTCAGGCAGGAAAATTAAGAGGACAATAAAGTTTTTGGAAACTTTTTCCTAGGACAAAATATCAGCCCTAGTTAAATTGTAAGGAAAATGCAATTTTGATTTTGGGTATGTTAAATTACATTCTTTTTCTTTTCTTTTCTTTTCTTTTCTTTTCTTTTCTTTTCTTTTCTTTTCTTTTCTTTTCTTTTCTTTTCTTTTCTTTTCTTTTCTTTTCTTTTCTTTTTTCTTTTCTTTTTCTTTTCTTTTTTCTTTTCTTTTTTCTTTTCTTTTTTCTTTTCTTTGCTTGGCTTTGCTTGGCTTTGCTTTGCTTTTTTTTAAATTGTAAGCATTTTCTTTCTGAATTCTATTTAATATTTTAGTCTGAAGAGGCTCCTTGGAGCCTCAGTACTTAGCTTATATCCTTAAAGAATGCTTCAAGTACAGCTGGTAAATTTGGAAAATGCAGCAAGTCATGAGAAAATATGAGCTGGTCACTTGAAAGACTGTCTAAAGCGACACCAAGTGAGGGTTCAATGATATGGGGAAAAGCAGAGCCTCAAGACTAGCAGCCAAGGCAGCTTATATTCCCCTTCGCTGCTCCTTGGGCAATTTAGGCAACCTGTCCTCTACTTTGAAAACACCGGTTCCTAATTAACTCCTTTCATTTAGCAGTGGGTGGCTGAACATTCCTTTTGCCAAACAGGTCAAATTTTTGAGATCCTTTCCTCTAAGGATGAGTCCTGGAGGACTGTGCTGCTTTGTCCTCCTCTGGTCAGCTGGAACAACCAGAGAGCCAGGTGCAAGATGAGAACAAAAATATCTAAATCCATTTCCAAGGCTTTGATAATTCCTGCCTGTTTCCTTGGAGATGGCCGTGGCAAGAGTGGGATAGTGCCAGATGGCTTTGAAAGGCTCGGGCAAGCCATCATTTTCTGGCACTCCTGATATCCCTTGTGTTCCTGAGTATTGCATGTTCAAGAACTTATCGTTGTTTCTGTTGGACTGTCTGGATGGAAATCCTTCTCAGGCTGCTGCCATGTGATGATTAAGTTCTGGAAAACTTTCAATCCATTAACAGAAGTTGATGTAAATAATGCATCAACTTATCGGGATAAAAGGAGGCTACTGCAGCTGGGTCCAGAGAATCCCTTTAAAAAGAATTCAGCATTTCTCAGCCATTCCTCTTATCACTTAATAGCCGAGTCTAAAGCAGTTCATTATCTGATGAGCTTCAGCCAGTCTGGGAGTGGTCACCCTCATGCTGGTCCTGGGAGCGATTGCACAGTCCCAGGTGTTGTTTCAGGTTGAGATGCTTGATCCCAAATCCATAGGCAGCCAGCAGCCAGGCAAAGGTTGCTGCATGAAGGATGTATTTATGCAGGTGCTGTTTAGTGTAAAGGAGGGAATATTTTTGGCAGTACAGTCTTGGCTGCTGGGGTAAATCACAATAATTCCGCTTTATCCTTGGTTCTATGGAGCACATACACGAGCAGAGATTTGCCCCCTCCAGTGTGATGCTGAGATAACTTGAAATGACTGAGAAGCCTCTGAGATGAAGCTTTGTGTCAACATGAAATACAGGTACCATTTACCCCAGCCTGAAAGACACTGAGTGAGGCTTTCTTTTAAATTCAGTCACAGACTCAGAGGCATAAATCAAACTCTCCTGCTGGAAGGTTTTTGTCCTCTTTCATTTCTGACCATGCTTGGAAACAAATGACTAACAAATATTTCTAGGAAGTATACTTTATGGGTAAATGTGCCCTTTTCCTTGACAGAAAGAGGCACTTGGCTAGATATAGTGGTGTCACCTGTAGAAAGATTTTACTTCTGGTGACTTAACTTCTGTGTTGATCACAGTATTTCCAGGGGTGCTATCAAAATGATGAAAAAATAAAATTTTATACCCTTTGTATAATACCCTTGGAATAAAAAACCAAACTAGTAAGGCAACTAATTTAAACTAGGTAGCTAAACTAAACTATATAAACTAATGTACTGCCCGTGAGAGACTGGCAGGATTTTCTTTCACTGTACTGATCAGTGAGCAGGAACATGAGGGAAGACAACCCATTCCACTTCTTATTTCTTGGGTGGCTGGAAGTGTAGATCCCTAAATCCAAAGAGAACTAGATACAAATAAGTCACATAGTCACCAAGAGAGGAACTTTGAGGCAGAAATTTAATGTCAAGAACAACTGAGACGTCATAGAAATATACATGAAAATCTGATTAAATATTAATAATTGGATGAAAAAAACCCCATAATAACTAGAGTGAATTTAGTGAAATTATTCAAGAGGACATAACCCCCCCCACCTTTGATGATGCAGACAGTAAGGAACTACTCAAATGACCAGATTAAAATAGCAGGGGAAAAAGCTATCCAGGAAACAATGAACATTCTTCATTTAAAACATGATATAGATATTATGTAACACAGTGTTGAACTACTTACAATGTCCATTTTGCAAATGAGCCCTTCTTTTCTCCTCAGATTTCATTTTGGCCTTTATGTACCACTGGCATCTTTCAAGAAAACAAGTGAGGTTTTAAATAAAATACTTGCCATGGATAAAATAAATGTACATTAAGTTTTATCTGCCCTTTTATGAAAACCAGAATCTTTGCATTTGGAATACACATTTAGTTATGAATCTAAAGAGGGAAATATGAAGAACTACAAATAGATTACATACAAAGAAAAACAGATCAGAGTTGAATTATTAGCATGAAAGTGACTACTTGAGTTTAAATTTCATTCAAAACTTTATTTCAAGTTTGACTCCTTCAAAGAATTCTGATACATTAATAAATTATCACTTCCCTGCATTCCTGTTTGCATATGTAAGTTGGTGGTAATTAAACCTTATCCTATTAACTTTCATATACAGTGGGTGAAAAAAGCTCACATTTTCTTCCTAATTGAATAATAATGACTTCACTACATTTCATGAAAAAAGAAATATTTTTCTTCACATCAGGATCACTTTTTTTCTTTCTTTTTGCTGAGTGGCTCTGTGCAGTGTGAGCCAGGCACGGATTTATTATTTCTTCTAAGATAGCAAATATCATACAGGATAAACATTAGGTTTTAGCATATGCCTCTATGATTGCTATAAAATTGCAAACCCTTGGCAAACAACCCAAAACTCAGTGGAAGTTCGTGAATTGTCAGCAACCACATCTGACAATGCAAGGAGAATATGTTGGAGAAAACTGCCACATGGCAAGTTTTTGGGTTCCTGGTAATGAAATCTCCCCCAGCCTGAATGCTGCCAACCTGTTAATGCTGATTTAGAGGGTCACATGGTAGCAGCAACTGTCTCAGTCAAGAATAAAGCAAAATATTTGATCTTGGTCTTAAAGCTCGCTCTCACCCACTGAACAGCCTAAGAATTATTATTTAGAGGGAAACCTTTTGGTCTAAGGGCTGTTGAGGCACTGAACCCAGCGGAGAACAGCAGTGCCCATGGACATGTTATTTAGTGTACAGACATACAGTTCCAAAATCAGCTTGGAAAAAAAATGGCTGTCCTCTCTATGTACATCACCAGCCTTATAAAATTAAATAAACATTAATTAAAGGCAGTATATCTACACAAACAATGATGATATGAGAACCAGGTGAACACCCCCACCTCATTTCAATGGTTAGTTTAAACTGCTGGAACACAGTAGGAACACTCACAAATTCATTCACTGCTACACAGGTAATGACGAATGGGCAGAAAATTCTGTACCCTTGTGGAGGGAAATGCAAACCAATGGATTCTCAGATTCTGTGTAAGCCTAGAGATTGGAAACCACTCGCTGTGACCACTAAGGATGACAGAGCCATTTTTAGGACCTGAACAACTGCTCTGGAGGGTGCCAAGTGCCAGGAACACTAAATAGGAGTTCTTATACTTCAAGTGTCTACCCAAGGGAACAGTCAAACAGAAAGACTTTAACCCTGTCCAGTCCTCTCAAGTGTGGCCCCAAAGTGTGACTACAGTGGCCAGTGGTTGATCACCAGCAGAGGAGTCTCCTCATTCTCTGCTCATGTTGGCTACAGAACAATTGGAGAGGAATAATTTCTGTAATGATAAGACTGAATCATACTGAGCTTTAACATCACATTTCCTGGAATTAAGCCAAGATCCCCTGTCCTGTGCCTCCAAGTCTCTGCTGCTTTTATTTTTCTCTCTAGGACTGACAGTCGTGCTTCCTGCTTGCTCTGGGTGGGTAATCACTCAGCAAAGTGCAGAGCCAGGTGCTCATTTAACCCAGCCTCTCCACTGTGAATAGACTCATCAGCAGCCCGGAGACTCGACAGCTCATCAAATTGTTAATTCTAAACACTGGAGCAGAGCACATCTGTAGGGTACCAGTCGCATTTTTCATGGTGAAATTTGCCTCCAGTCCTAGAGTAAATTGAGTATTTATTCAAAATTTTCTTGCTCTGTCTTCTGTGGAATACACTCTTATCACTGCATTTAAAGCAGCACTTCACAATGAATTCGTATCTTACATAATTGAAATGGTCCCTTTGAGTAAAGCATTAGAAAGCTAAGAGAATCTCCGATATCCTTAATGCTGGCAAACAGGAGGAAAAACCAAAAGAAACCCATTTCCATATTTTTTTTTCATTCCTGAGTTTAGTGATTTTTTTTTTTTAAAGGAAGTGTTTGAGTTATGCTTCAGAATTTCACATTAGGATTCCACACAGTTATTCTCTCTGGAAGTTTGTCTAAATAATTCCTCTCTCTTCTGAAAGACCTTGCTGTTTGTCAGCTTCTGTAGTAATGGCAGGAATATTTACTTAGCTTCTAAGATTATTTAAGGTCACAGTATGTTCCAAGGTTAACTGCTCTCATCAAGTTCAACAGAAAGTTAGACTTAATTGGTTTTATTATTTAGCAGAAAGAACATTAATTCACATAATGGCAGCTACTGTGCTTGCTGAGGTATTGCAAATAAAACCTCTGGCCTACACTGATAGAACATCACTTTCTTTTCAAGTTAGAGGTAATGCTATAGCAACAAAACAGAAATATAATTACAAATTTAAAAGTGCCACACAGTCCATTAATATCAGCCCTGTCTCTGATGACCATTATCACATTCAGAAGATTTAAGTGTAACATCTTTTCTGGTAGTGTAAACATAGGTCCTAAACCAGGACAGTGGGAGTGCAGAATCCTTTCCTAACTCTGGATTTTTTCTGTCCCCAAGCCAGGTAAGAAGGAAACTCCATGGAGAATCCTACTCACATGGAGGCTCTTCCAGCATCTTTTTTTGTGTGTCTGAAGGAGCGAAAGGGAAAAAGGATAGAGCGGGGTCAGAGCGCACACAAACTCCAAGGTCTCGCAGAGGAGATGGGATCATAATCTCTTTGTCCTTTTAAATTTTGTTTTGCTTCCAGGTGGAAGCAGGTGAAGTCCCGAAATCACGCAGGAAACACCCAAGGCTCAGTGAAAAAGGAAAAAAGGCACCCTGGAAGGAGTTGTGCCTGTGGGAATCTGAGCTCCAGCAAGGACTGGTGTTCCTACCTACACATGTCTTTTTTAGCATGTCCAGTTAGAATTTGTGAGTTCCCTTAAAACCTTCACTGTGCAATTCAGCACGGCATCTGGCCACTCAAACCAAAATGCTTCCTCATCCAATTTGCATAATGTCATTATTTGATCCTAATCAACACATCGACTGAAGAAAGGTGGACAAAGAGCACTGCATTGAAAGAATTGCAAGCACAAGAGTTGGCTAGTTATAAAAAAACCCCCATGGTCCAGACTGGTGAATTCCCCTGCCAGTGCAGCAGTACTGCTGCAACACAGATTTAATTGGGATATCTTCAATCTTAAAAAAAAAAAGCCAGAAAGCAATAAAACAGGACCTTTAGGAAACTATTTTCTGTTTGCCAGTGATACCACAAGCAGAAGAATCATTCTAGTGTTTCAGAGTATAGTATTCCTAAGTTTAATTTCTAATATAATTCCTGCTTTTTATCTTAAGAGATGCAGAAATGTGCATATAAAATAGGTGCATAATTTTGTATGGCTTGTCCTACAAATTTAATATAGTGAAAGTAATAAAAAATGGTCCATTCAAGTGTATTTAGCAAGCCACATTTCCAATTCCAAGACATCAAAAATCCTAGGGTTGCACCCTCCAAAGCTTTGCAATTTACAGTTATGAGATTTTATAGAATATATTGTAGGAATTTTTTCTTTCTTTTTTTTTTTCTTGTAATGTCAGAGCCTTGAAGGTGCAGCAGGTACAATGTGTTTTTAAATTTTCACTCTGGAGGCAAGAGGTCCAGAAACTTATTTTTAAAATATCCAAGCTATTTCCTGGTTTCACACAGTTGCTTGTCTGCCCAAACTGAGTCTTTATGGAAAACAACACTCACGAGAGAACTGTGAGTACGACCCAAAGAAGGCATTCACCCCACTGTTTAATCTTTATTTCAGCACTGAAAATGTGGTTTAATGATTTAACTATTATTCTTAAATTCTTAGTTTTAGATGGTTCCAACCCTGCCTAAATGAGAACGCTGTAGCTTTAATTACCTCCCAGTGATCAGGAAGAACAAAGTGAGGATGACCAGGAGAGTGAATCCACCAACAGCAGCAGTGGCAATGACAAGAATCTGCCCCTGCTCCGCAGCCATATCAGAAGCTGAAAGAGAAGCACAAAGAAAAGAGGTTAATGCTCCACCATCCAGGGGTTTTGAAAGATGGGTGAAAACATTTCAGTGGTCAAAAGTTACAAATTGTTTATAATAGTTTCCCCTTGCTTAGCAAGGTCATCAGATGAGAATGTCTGTGAAGTGAGAAACCATAATCCATGTCCCAAGCAGGAGGAAGGGGAGAAGGTGTTTACAGGCTTTTAAAATGAGGAGTTGGCATTATCAGAAACTTGTAGTTGACTTAAGTTTGAATATGACAGGATTTTGGACACAAAACTGCATTTTCGCCTTTAGCTTTATTTATCTTAATCCTGCATCTAATTCAGAACTTCATCCACCTGGTCCATGAAGTCATCAGCAGAGCTGTGTATGTAAGAGATACTAAACCAGCTTCAGGAGGAAGCAAAGTAGAAAAAGAAAAATGTGGAGCTTCACAGACACTTCAACATGTCTGGTGTTTATTTTTATTGACACAAAATGCATAGAGTTTTCCCACAAAATGCTTTGGGGATTGTCAGCACTGTAGCTGAAAAAAAATAAAATTAATTTTCTTATGCCTCGTGTTTTTCTCTCTGCTTTTTGTAGGATGTTTAGGAGTTAAAGATCACCTGGTCTCCAGACACTTGCTCTTTTTATTAATGTATTGTGTATAATATTAAATTTTTACATTGACAAAGCACCTACTTACAGTGAGATTGGTCCTCACTGTCCAAGTACTACACGAGTAGAAAAAGAATTAGGCTTGTTTTTTATTCTATCTCGTGCCTTGTGACTTCAGAGTTTTGTTTGTTGAACTCAGTTACACTTGAACATTTTCACCACATGACATTTACTCAATTCTTACTTTCTATTTCCATGGGAAATAAAACATTGTTTTGAAAGGAGAATAAATAATTCTATTCAATGACCTCTGACAAGAGTAGTAAAAAAGAAAAGAAAATAATTTTTACTTTTGTCAGGAAAGCAACTTTGATATTTTAAGCTTGCAAACTGTTCAAGAAGCAAAATCTTCAGCTTTCTTTTGGCATCAGTTGATTACAGCTTAGGGAAGTCACCAAGGTTGCTGCCTAGAAATCTCAGCAGGCTATATTCTCTCACTTTGCAGTTGATGAAGCCCAATACAATGCACACATTGCATCCAAAGCCCCATAAAATGCTGTTTCCAAGAAAAACATTTGGCTTCTAAATAATATTTGTGTGAGTTTAGAAACTAGCAGTGTAAACTGGCTTTGTAATAGTAGTAAAGCAAATAAAAACAACAGTAGTTTATGTAAAATTTTCAGCAAAAAAGCAACTTGTTAAATTTCTGCCATTAGGTTTCTCTCCATATAATTTTATGGAATCATGTACAGGCAGTAAATTACAAGGCGCTCAGTATCTGTGGTCATAAGCTTTCTGTAGACAAGTTAAATATACACATTTTCCAATAAATGATGTAGCAAATACTCACTGAATAGCTAATCTCCAGAATGATATCTGGTGATGTTATGGGAGTTACAGTGTGCTGTATTATGTTCCACAGAGTCAGATTTAGTTGGAAAAATACAACATAACAAATATCATGCCCCACAAGTAACAAGGCAAATAATAACAGGCTCTCCAAATAAAAAGCTGAATATTTTCAGACTAGTGGGAGTCATGCTAAATGTTGCAAAGATTGTTACAGCCAGGCACGGTTGGCAGCTGTGAGTGGAGAAGGTTTCAGAGGAGTCTTTCTTGCCCATCTCTACAATGGAAGTGGAGGAACAGCCTGCTGCTCTCTTTTTTTGTTTTTAATAGGAAAAAGATGGGTGAAAAACCAGTGAATTCAGCAGAGGAAAAGCAAACCACGAGCTCAGATAAATTAGCTGCGGTTTCCTTCAACAGACATTCATTACCAAGGTAACAACTCAGGGCCTTTCTTGGTGCAAATGTAGGGACCGACTCTGTGGTCCGAAGCAGCACCCTGCAGCTATGGAGATGGAGAAAGTCGTGTGCCCTGGATCATTTCTCCTGGATGGAGATGCTATTTCCTGGAGTTCTAGCTAAAACAGAATCCAATCTATCCATTTAATAATACATGTTTTCTATCAGGAACCAAAGTCACAGTAATGAAGGGGAGAAATTCTAGCCTGGCTTTAGTTCTTTCCACCTCTAAGCAGTATGAATTTTAGCTGAGACTTAAGTACTTAACAAGTGACCATTCTGGTTCTTTTGCTTGTATTTTACCGTGTTGGCAGAGATGTCAGAGTCCAATACATTAGGATTTCTTTTTCTCAAGTAGCCAAATAACTATAAGGAGCTTTCAAACCTGAAACTTCCAGATGACCTTAATTTACTTGTCAGATAAAAAAGTCAAATGACAAGCAAGTATAATTGGAAAATGTGGATTTCTTAAAAACTGACAGAGAGGCAGGTAAGGCAAAATGATGGGAATACTTATTTTTGCTTGAAGTGATCTTTCAATAAAATCAATAAAGGCACAGTGCAGTGAACATCACACATACAAGCACATGTGTATGCACATACACAGACTTATCACACGCAGGTAAAAGGTTCCATAAAACACTATTTAGGCAGTGAGAAGGCAGTAATCAGGGACACTCAACACTTTTTTTTTCTTACAGCATTTTTCCATTCTAGATTAAATTCAGTGTGTCTCTCAGTCTCTCTGTTCTTTTCTCATTTCTCCAGCCTTCTCTTAAGGTAAAGTTCAAGTTGTAAATACTAAGAACTTTAATTGCTTCTGGTCTGCATGTTCTTGAATCTTTTTTGTAATTTCCTGTTTTTTTCTTCCTTATTTTTCCTGTGCATATTGGCATATGACCCTGTGTTTCTCCTCAGAACTAGTTTGATTATTCAAGACAGAAAAACTCAGTTTAAAAAACAATTATGATAGGTTACAAAGTCAAGCAAGTTCCTGCAACCTTATTTCATGTCTTTGTGTGTACATATTAGACTACTGCATTTAATCACAGAAGCACACAGCATTTTTCTCCCAGAATCTCATTTTTAGACAACACTGTCAGTACTCATACAGCTAAAATCAATATTTTGTTGTCTCTATGCTGTCCAGTGCACAGTCTCATATCTGCCAACTCTGCACCATCCAAATCCATCCAGTGCTGGATGATCAGTAGCTCTGTGAGCACAGGGGTGAATGTGGCCGTACCATGTATGGGGCCATACTCCATTTGTTGAAGTTGATAGACAAGGGGGTGAGGAAGCACTGGTGCAACAGGAATACATAAGCCAATAAATTCATTCTGATAGAAAACGTACTTTAAAAAATGAGTAACCTAAGACAAGGAAAAGGGAGAATTTGTTACTTATTCCAGCAGATGATTCAATAGTATTCTGTAATGTTTGGGTGTCAAAATACTTCAAACACATTGTACCTGCAACTAATGTGATTAGTCATAGTGATGACTTCATTTTAAAACTGCAGCATGTATATAACACGTTATTAACCAGATAAACTCTTCACTTCCCTTAATCCTCATGCTCAACTCGGGTTATATGCCTGAAATGACGTTTAAAGCGTCTAATTGCATGGTTCCAGCTTCCTTGCTTGACAACATGCCCAGATATCCCTCCTGCATCCGGCCTGGTGTCAGTTCTGTGCCTACAAGCTACTCTTGACATCCACACCCTGTCTCGGCTCCTCTCTGGGTTCTTCATCCCAATGTGTGGAGGAGGAGCTGCACTTTCCCTCCTCACTGGGCTGAAGGGAAATATCCTAAAGCTTCTCCATTTCCTCACTGGGCAGACTGGAAGAAATGGTGCAGACGTTTTAGTCATGGTACAAGAGGGTGACAGACAGAGAGAATCTTTCAGCTCTGCTCTTTCTTTTCTTTGAGCAAATTTCTCCACAATATTTTAAAAGTTTGTGTATTTGGTATAAAAGACCTGGAAGGCCTAATGACAGCTCACTCCTCTCTCTTAGCTACATCCTTTAGTTATTTCAACTTGACATCTATCAGGCAGCAGACCTTCCAGCAGACTTAAAGATAAAGAAGTGACAAGAAAGACAGCTAGACAGATAATAGTGAGCAGCTGTAAGATAGATAAGTGTGGATGGTGAGAACTGGAGCTCTAATAGACAGGAACTGTCTGTCAGATGGCTCTACAAGGCATTGTAAACAACAGTGCTTAAGAACAACAGATAAGTAAAACACAGTGTCTCATTAGGGTAACCTTTACATTTACAATGAGCTGATGGGCTCCAGTCAAAGGGGGAATGTGGGAAAGGGAGAAGGCAAAGGAAAGGTGATCTTAAAAAGGATGTTTAGGATGAAAAGACAGTACTGTCACTAGCATAAGGATGTAAAACTTTTTGGTACATGTTCACTTGAAAAGCTTTCTTTCAAGTGTTTCCCCCAGCATTCACTTCCTGACCAGTGGAATAATGGAGAGCCTGTGCAAGCAGTTTGAGATTCGAAAAAGGATGTCTCTCTTGTTTAGGAAATGCAGAGGAAAAGAAAAGTGAGGTCTCTGGGGCTTCTGGATATGTACAGTAGAGCAATCAGATAGACCAAACCCAAATGTGAAGAATAACTGAAAATATAAAACACAGTAAGGAAATACTTCAAGATTAAAATGAGACATCCAGTGCTGACTGATATTGAACAGTAGGACTAAGCAGACACGGAGAGAGATCCAACAAGACAGTTTCTAAATACGACATATGTGCCATCTGATTTGTTTGTTCCAACAAGAAATTAAATTTACTACTGTCAAAACATCAAGTATTCTAAAAAGCAAAAGCATAATCTCCATTTTTCATTGGTAATTCAATGTATTTCTAAAAATCCTAGGGATGGCTTCTGTATCAAGTCATGAATCAAAGCATGTGCTTAAACCAGTATTGGACCTTTACTGGAATCAGTGATTCTGGACCCTTCTCTTGATCTTTGGAGTTCTGGAAAGAATGGAGCTCAAGGGTCTCAATCAAATCCAATGGCAAATCCAAAACAGCATGTTTTGAGGTTGAAAAGCTAAAGGTAGATTTTTTGGATGTGAGAAAAGGGGGAAGAAAGTGGAAATCTAGAAATAAAAGAAAGTCACCATCTGTGCTTATGGTAAGGAAGTTAAAGCTTCATCAAGATCAGGTTTTCAGGCCAATTGTTTTTTCATAGTCTTCAATTTTATAAAATACCTAATCAGGTATTCCCATAACATTTCTGAAATGTTTATTTTTTTATTGTTAATATGACTGACTTAAAGCATATGAAAATCTACCTTGCTTTTGGATTAAATATCATCATGTGTTTACAGTTATCACTCTGTTCAGCCCAAGCACTAGTTCTCATTGCAAAATGCTAGTTTGTCCCTTAGGTCCCTTCTGGAACAGGCCAACCATTTTGCTTTCAGATTATTTTCTCCCAGTGATGGAAAGGCTGACATGGAAAATACGCTTGTTTTAGAACAAGCCCTGCACAGAGAGGTACAGCATGAAAACACTTCACTGCCTAACAGATGTAAATTATTCAATATTTTACAAATTCCTCTAGGCACTGAGGTACTACAGTAAAAACTACCTCCCTAGAAAATAAAAAAAAAAGCATTGAACCATTTATTTAAAAAAAATCCAACAAAACCAACAACAGCAACAAAAAAGTCTTCCATAAAGAGCAAGTCAGAAGAGAGAGAGAAAAAAAAATAGAGAAGGCTACAATTACAGATAAAAGCATATTTGCCCTAGGACAAATGGGGTTTTATTCTCAGAATGCATTTTCTTCTATGTTAGGAAGGACCAGAGCTTTTTTTGTGGTGATTCAGATAGTTGGTACTTCCGATAGATAAAAGTGAGGTTATACCTCAACTTACAGCCACAGCAGTGGTACCTGTGTGTGTCTGGAGTGTACTAAACCCTGCCATCTTTACTACAAGTGTTTTGCCCATAAGGTGCTGAAACAGAGGGACTAATAAAATGGTCAAAAGCAGTAGTTACTATGCTCTGTAAAGGTATTACATATCCCAGCAGCCTCTTAGCTTTAAACAGGGGAAGAAATGCCTGACAGCATCCACTCATGCATCCCTGCTTCCTTGAAGAGAATTTTTCTGACTATTCCAGGTAACTGCATCTCCTATCACAAAGAAAGTACAAATTTTACTCTTTGGAAAGCTTCATTTGTTTATCTTTGCATCAAAGAGAAGAGTTCAACAACAACATGCTCCCCAAGCAGTGGCTGTCTCAGCCTGGGGGTCAATAAGCCAGGGTGTTTCCCCAAAAAAACACATCAGCATTATTAACTAACTTTTGTCATTACTGCTGCAGAGTTGGTCTTCTTTCTCCCTCATGCATCACCATTAATAATCACACCAAAATGTCTTAGTTTTCCCACTAATGATGTATCTAATTTTATCCTATATAACTGAACTGACACAGATAGTGTTTCACCCAGTAAATGGGAGAAGGCACGACAGCACTGTCCTGCCAAGGACAGAATGTTTTAGGACATTGATATACGCATCTCATAGTTGATGAGCCAATAATTTTTTATAACTAGTCTGTTAATTTTAAGTTTTCTTAAATGCTCATTTTGAATTGCTCTCTTTCTCATTATCTACCCACAAATTATGTCAATATTCAAACAGGGTAAATGGAATAACTTTGGATGTTTACCTACAACTCGTCCTGGAATTCTTCTTTTCTGTAACATGTACAATTAGCAGAGAGCTAAAGGATGTTACAAGCTAATGCCAATTGAGGATGATTTATTATGAGATTGTTGGTTGATAAATTTTCTGTCAACAGCACAGACTTTTAAAAGATTCTATTTTTCCAGTCTTTCAATGGAAATATTAGCTTTAAATTAATTAAAATCTGGCTAACCGAAAGTCCACAAAAATTAATTGCAAAAGTAACTTGTTTCTAATTTTAACCAAGTAACTTGTTCCTAATTGGTAGAGATTGAGGGAGCTGCAGTAGTCTGCTCTGGTCTAATATTTTTTGGTATCTTTCAGAATAATTAAGAAGAATGTATATTAAAAAATCACAAAACTTTCAACTGAGCCCAAGAGCCAGTTGTACTAGTGAATTGAGAAGGAGAGATGGGGCTGGGATAGAGTGAGCGGATTCCCACTCCCAGGAGATATTTCTATCAGCAGTACCAAGGAGAGAAACACCAGTGGAACCACAGTCTTCCTGATTCAGATGAGCAAGTGACATTTTCACAAACACAGCTAGACTCATAGAAGTTTAAATATTGCTAAATTTTTATATCAATTATATCCCTGGGTGCCCAACACCAGATATTTGTTGCATCAAGATCTACTGAAATTCTTGAAAGCACACAAGGGCTCAGCTCCTTTTCAAACCAATCGGCTTAAGTACCCAAAAAATTTTAAGAAGTGCAATTAGGCATTAAGCACTTGGAAATCTATCCCAGATTGATTTTTGAAACAGAAGTTAAGAAGAAGTGAAATTGGAACACAAATCCCTGGGTGCTTTTGGAAGCACTTATTTAGTTTCGAATGTGTATTTTAGCTTAAGCAACTTGAATTCCAAAACACTAATGAAAAGCATGGTATACATAATTGGCTAATTAAAGTAATTTAATTAATGAGTGTTTTAGTGTTGTATCTACTACACTAATTTTACCTCAAATACATGTAAATACCTTGTTTTTGATTTCTTTGAATATGCAGGATGATAAATGACTTAAATATAAAATTATCTAGCGCATGAACATCACACATCAAGCCTTTTTGCAAATTCTGAAGGACCATGTAGGCTTCTTGCTTCTTACTGGCAAATTACTGGTTGATGGAAATGCATATAAAAATTTTCATTTTTTTTTTATTTGTAGAGTCTGAGAGCAGTAAAAACTGCAGAGGAAAGAGTCCATCACTGTTGTGTGATCTTGCATGAGGCTGCTGGATTTAGTAAAGCCTGACTAAGGGTATTTCTAGATGTCAAAAGGAAGGCCTGCTATAAGGAAAGAAATGATCACAGAATCCTAGAATACCTCAGGTTGAAAGGACCCATAAGGAAATTTTATGGAAGAGAACATTCCTTCAGCTGCAGCGTTGGGCTAAAATTTCTGTTTTTTCTTATAAATCCAGAAGTGTGAGTCTGAGGCCTACTTGTTTTTTGTCACACAGCAGTGGTCCTTTTGTGATAAGCAAATGGTGTGGGTTCAGCCATTCAAACTCCCAGTGTCTCACTGTTTTAGAATTAGATGCTACTTCTATTGTATTTATTTTTTTTTTCCCTTCAGTGAAACTTACTTTCATCTCCAGTTTCAAATTCAAACTTCTGGCTATAGCCGCTGTATCCTGCTGCCGTCCTGACTCTGATATGAAATATATACTTGGTGGCTGGCTTGAGACCTGTGATGATAACACTTGGAGCCTTGGACCTTGTGGAGGAATAGCTGAGCTGCTCATGCTCCTGAGGGACAAAAGAGGGAAGAAATGATATCAAGTTGAGTTGAACAAACTTTGCAAAAATGATATAACAGAACTGAAGCTCCATATTCTTCTCATGAGTGTAAAATGTGTCTATAAAAGGAGGTGCAGGTATGTACTTGCATACTTTGATTCTGTACTATAGTCATAATGCATGATATGGCCTTGACTTTCACATTTCAGTTTTTTTTCTTTAATCCTGCATATTGACACATCTCTGTGACTTGGGTTAGTAATTACACCGTAGTCAAACCAATATGGAATTAGTACAAGACTACATTCACAGAAAAAATGGCAACTAGAATGGTAGCTAATTATTTCTGCACAATGGACAAAACTAGGAGGTCAGGAAATACTAGTAAGCTGTAAAGTGAAGACGTGGGAGTATTCAAATACCCGCTACTCACTTCTACCCGCAGGTAGTGCCAAAATGCCGGCGCTATCCGTGGGTAGACCTGTGGGTAAAAGAAAATAAAAATTAACTTTTTCTTTAAAGCCTCTAAAGTTCTAGCACAGCTCAACTGCTTCACTGCTGCTGAACTAAATTTCTCTTTCCAGGTAGCTGTAGTGTAGTTGGACATGAAATTCACTTTCAAGCTCTATAAGGAGGAACACTCTCTCCGAAGTCCCCCGTTAATCTCCTAGCAGTTGATCCTGGGCAGCTGCTGAGAATTCCTGACTCTCACAGAGATCACTGAGAATTATGGTGTGCAGAGATCCTTGGGAATTACCAGTGCAGACCAGCTGCTGCAGTACAGAGAGACCAGCCACATCGATTGCTGGGCAAAAACTAAGAGCTGCTTTGTTAGACAGGTCGCTGACGATGTTTTTATACAAGGGAAGACTGACTGACTTGGAAGGAGAACATTTGTTCCCTGTCATTAGTTACTGTCACTTGATAAATCAGTAATCTGTAATATTTTATGTGCTGCCTTAAGGCCAGCTTTACTTCAGTGGAGCAGGATTTGTCTCCAAACTGACAAACGAGCAGAAATGTCCTTGGCATATGTTTAACAATCCAACTGTGACACCCATAGGGCACCATATACATTTATTATACCATGCAGCAGTATTAGAGTATGTATAAGTTATTCAAAGGGTAATTCCAACCCACTAAGAAGGAAACAATCTGGTTCATAGAAGAGATATAACCAGGAGAAGAATAGGTTACAGTTGGATTCTGTTGGACTCTTAACCTCTTGTGAGAAACTTTCACATACAAACTTTGTATATAAAACAAACAGTTCTATATAAAACATGCTGAGTTGACTTCAGTCATGTGTAAAAAAATCACATTAGCACGGGGCAGAAGGTATATCCCTATTCCCCCACTAGGCCTACAGGGCGATGGCTGGGAAAACCAGATTAAAAAAACAAACACACAAAGCAACTTAATGATTCTGTTAAGTGAAGGAGCAGAAGGAAGGCAACAATGACCAATATATAAAATAATTGCATTTAATGTTCACTTCAAGCAGTGGAAATAATTTGAAAAACTGTAGTAAAAGGAAGCGTTGATTTGTTCTACAGGCTCTTACCAAATTTTGAAGCTGTGAGGAGCATGTATTTAAATTGAAAAAATAAGGTACAGTGTACATGTAATCTTATGGATAGAGACTATAATTAAGATACTATTAACTAAAATTAACTACTTCTTTGATTATCAGATTTCTCCCAATTCCTTGAAATCCTATAAGTTCACTTTGAAAAAATTAGTGGATTTTAGACATACTTTTTTTAGGCATTTCAGAAAATATCTATTTTCTTCTGACAGAAAGCCTACTTGTTAGAGTGATAGATTTTTTTTTGTGTGTATGATTAAGCCTACTTCAACTCGAAAAATATCACGTATGTGAGCAAAAAAAAGGTGTAATAGGTTAATACTCAGATTTGTAAGGAAATAGAGAGGAATTTCCATACTAATTCATGGACATTTCACGAACATTCAGTGTGTCATGAACAACTAATTTCTATTCCACAGCCTGGTTATATGTGCAAATTCCAGGCACTTCCATGCATAGAGGGGACATATAACTTAACAAGGAACTTGGCAAGGGTATGCAAACTTGGAGAACACAAGGTTTGAGCTTATTTAGTAATGAAGCTGCTGACCATAGTGTGTACATTCCTGCCCAAAGTGACTAAGTCTTTTAAGACAAGTTATCTACCAGCTCAAAGTTAATCTAAGAATTAGACAAAAAAAATGACCTGTCATGGCCCACAGATGTGCAGAGACTTTACACTCTGGAGTGCTCTGGAAATTTTTAGTTAGACTGTAAGCTACAGAACAGACCAGTGGCTAAGGGATTTCACTGTACCATGTAATAGTTGCTTTTTTCCCCCCCCTAGACTATCTTACTGCCTGAAATCAAGTTCTAAGCATTTAACAACGTACTGTTTTTTCTGACCTGCTGGAGAGATTGCAGAAAAAATTTCATGGAACTGTAAAAAGACAAAGGGTCCTTAAGAGGAGGATGGAAATGGAAATTTTGTCAAAAAATTGGTGGTGATTCCCCAAGGTACAAGGACAAGATTTTCTCCTTGAAGTCTGTTAGAACAAGGCCAGTGGCAGCAAAGAACTGAGAATGACTTCTGAAAAAAACCAATCTGAGCTATATCTGTTGTATATTATTATAGGCTAATTACTGCTTGTGTGAAACATAGCATTTGGGATACAGGGGCTCTGTAATCAGGGGTGTGGACAGACAGTCATCCAGTATAATTCATTATCTGTTGTTAGTAAAAGGCAATTAGTGTGACAAGGGCATGGTGGTAACATTTAATCAACAAAATGGGTCCCTCTGTGACTAACAGCAACTTCCTGAGGGGCAGCCACCTCTGCCTGTCCCTTCTGGGCAGTGGAAGGTATTTTAGTTACCTCTGAGGGTTGTCTGGCTTGTTTCTGCCTCACTGTCTCCCTGGGGGTGCCAGCAGGAGGCCCTGAAGGGTCCCTTCTTTATGCCCTTTCTCCTTTCTGCAGCCTCTTATGCCATCCATCCCACAGGAAAACAATGTCTAGGAGTACACAATCTTAAAAGTAATAGTACTATCATATGGGAAAGGGGGTAGGATTTGGTATTCCATGTCAAACAGCAGCAAGAGAACCTGTCACCTTGGGGTGTTTGAGAAGAACAAGCTTCAGGAGTGTGTACCTGAGGAGCAAGTTTCTCATATTTAAGACAAAATGATTCATAGCTGGAGACTTCATATGGCTGGAATGTTTTGCACAAAGAATTTTTGGGCTGGATTCATACACGAGACAATTCTCCAAAGAGTGGATGCTTTGCCATTGTTCTATTCTCCTGACAGTGACAAGATCTGCAGCCCACCTGGAAAGCCAAAGCTTTCCACAGAGAGATACAATTTGAGGTTGATGGGGGTGGCTCTCAAGGTTGGCCACTCCTTCTGCCGTGTTCTTTTGCAGGAAGGCTAAAGGCAATTTCAAACTAAAAAAAATACAATTCTAGTCTGCAGAGAAATCTGGGATGCTTTGTTTTATTCTTGCTGCAGATCACATGCCCTACTTTAGCAGGGATTCTGGGTTCAAAAAGTGAATTTTAAACTGAAGGACTTAGATTTACTTCCTGGATGTTAGTGCCTGCTTCTCCCAGACCTCGCTTTTATGTTGTGGCAAAATGTAGATATATATCAACGCAATTACTATACACCCTATTTTCCATCAAAAGGAAGCTTTGAGTGCTAGAAGGAGCCACAGTATGGTCTGTGATAGATCTCCGACCTGAACAGTGACAGGACCGGGATCAGTGGGACTATATTTATTCAGTATTTCTTGAAAACTACAGAGGACTACTAAAAATCTGCAAAATAAAATAAAAGTTTCACTGATATGGCTGTATTTCCCATGATACATAAGGAGTAAGAGAACTGTTGGCCACTATATATGGCTCAGTGTTCATATAAAAGAGAGGGTACAAGAAACGCTCTGACCCTTTACAGTAGTATCAGAGCAGCATTTGTGATCTTAAGATGGCACAGGGCTCACAAGGAGCAGTTCTGAGAACACAGTGGCCGAGGGGTTAAACATAAGTTGAAGTTAAATATAATATACTCATAGAACTACCAGACAGAATCTGATATGAGGAAATTCATTAGATCTCTTCCATGGCCTACTGCAAATTTATCTTGGTGCAAATCTGTAATTAAAACATAAATATAATCCAAATGCAAGTGATGCCAATGTTATCACACAATGTAATACTGAGTCTGTGACTAGATATCCAAGTTCAACAGGATTATAGTATGAACTTTGAAAATGTTATCTCTATTTCTAAGGAAATTGTATTTTTCTTATTGTTTGGGTGATTCTTCTTGTCAATGGATTCAGTTTTGATTATAAGAGACAGTGTTGATCTGTCATGAACAGGAACACCTTTCAGAATGAAACTCTTTCCTGCAGCCACCTTTGTGTGAGTATCTGAATCTGGATCTCTCCTAATTTTATACTTGGCTTTATAGTCAAGGTATTTTTTTCATATCTCAAGGAACAGACTGAGTGAATGGAAGTTACAATGGTGCCAATGGACTAAGACTAGACAGCCTAATTTAATTGAGTACCAGGAACAGAGGATAAAAGTTAATGAAAAGCTTTCTGCTTTTGCAATGCACCAGAGTAGCTGGATCTGTCCCATCAACATACGCTGTGATGAAATGTTTCCACTCTGTAACACCACGAGATTAAATTGTAGTTCTTCACTCAGTGAAAGTAGCTACTTTATTAATGTCATATTCATTCAATACCCAGATGTTCTATTATTGTGATTATTCTCACCATTTTTCTCATGTACTCCAAAGAAAGGGGTTTCCCTCTGATAACATCAGCCCTTGCAAACAAACAGATACGTTTTCACATGCCACACCTGTGTGAACATGTTGAACCTTCCCCCCCTTACTACAGTGGGAAAAAGCACAGAAATGAAGACTTTGTGCACACATGTAAAATATTGATAAAGACTAAACAAAACGTGATGACGTTTTATCACTTGAGACTCACATGACAAGAAAAAGAGATTACACTCTGATGTTATAGATGAGAAAAAGTATATATAACTGAAATTTCTAGTGCAAAAAAATAATAGAAATAAAAGCTGAAATGCAGAATTTTGCTTATAGTGCTCAAATAACCTTAAGAAGATTGACCTTACCAGTAAAGCACTGATAGAAAATCCAGGTACTTTCAGGTGTACAAGATTTGTTAATATTTGAGTGGGAAAGAGAAACATGGCTTTTATCAAAACACTATCAATCCTTACTTTAGCAGCTGAAAAAGAAACCCAAATTTTCTGTCCTTTAGAATATATAATGGGAGCTCCAGAAATTGCCATTCTCTTGCAATACACTCCAAGTCTGGCTAATTTTCTGAATGACAGTCAAGGTATTCAGTCCATTGAGTAACTGAAAAGTCTTAAACTGACACTAGGGAAAGAGTCTCCAAAGG